TATTTTCTGGTATCTGGAAAACTGTCAAACACGTTCAAGTCTGACATGTTTTAGAGAATATGCACACAAATAGCAGAAAACTGGAGAAAAGCGTGTCAGCATGAGCTGTACAGACATTCAAGAAAACAACAAAGAAGACAAGTTTTCTAAAAATATTTCCACCTGTTCTCTTAAATGGGTATAATTTTAAAGCAAAGAAATATATTAACCTCAAAGGAAGGTGTTTAAGATATTATTTATGGATTCTTGCCACAGCTGCACTATAATGCAACGTTTAAAAGACTGACGTTCTATCAGTGTCCAGTGCAAAGGGAAATCCCCCAAATTTAAACTCATGAATATATGCTCTTTTTGCCTTTCAGCGTCTTGGATTTCCCCTGCTCTTTGTGGGGAGGCCTTTTTTTTTTTTAAAGTCAGGTCATAAAAGAGCTGGAAAAGCTGTGTTTTGATATAGACACGTCTATTTTACAAGATAATTATTAGATGAACTCATTCTCTGTTGAAATAGCAGATTGCAGATGCATCTTGGATTATATTATCTATTTCATACATTAAAAATCTGCTTTCCTGAATTTTTCAATATACTCTTCCTTGCTTATTAGTACCATGGGAGCATAAAATGTCTCACAACATTTTGTGTATTACACAACACAAATTTTGTCAGTGAGAGAAACACTCTGCAGGCAGATGTAAAATATTTAAAGCTGTGACACAAACATTGTTACACAGAAAACATAATTATGCAAGAATGTCTGTACTGGATCTGCTTAGCCCAGTACCCTGTCTCCAACTGTGGCCTAAAGTAGACGCCCACAGAAGAGTATTAAGACTACAGACAGCCTTTAATGATACATTCTCTGAATACTCTTCCACTCTCCAACAGTTTGAAGGGACTTCCCAAAGCAGAGATAAGGGTCTAGTTATCTAATAACCCTTAATGGATTTCTCTTTCATGAACTTGCTGATCTCTCCTTGAACTCATGTGAACTTCTTGCATCCACAACACACTGTGGCAATGAGTTGCTCAGCATAACTACCTGCGTGGTTTCATCTGAAACTTCACCTTTTATCTGAACTTTCCATCTGCCAGCTTCATTTGATGCCTCCTCTGGTACTGGAAGAGACAGCAAACAATCGATCCCTATTCACCCCTTCCACAACACTTGTGACTGTAAAGACCTCATCTTATCTCCCCTTAGTCATCTTTTTTCCACACTGAGGACTCCTAGCCTACTAGTCCTTCCTCATACGGAAGCTACTCCAAACTATAATACTGGAGTTTCATGTAATATTTTTTTTTTTCCCTTGAGCAAAATGGGATGGGAACATGGAAGGAATTACAGAATCACAGAATCACAGAATGG